TATTCGTAAATCAGACCGTAGGCACGGTCCATATGGAGAACTTGAAAGTTATGAAATTTCCTTTCACCACTAAAATCTCATACCCACGCTTCTCCAAACGATATAACAAATTATTTATGTCAAAAATCTGGAGGTATGGATGAAATTTTAAGATATATCATCCCGTCACTCGCCATCCCACACCTACATTTACATCGTATTTATTGGAGGGTGCACACTTAATGTATACTCTCGGAATACAACCGGGAGCATCAGGCTCGGGACCGTCCCTTAATAGAAAGTCTGCGGAGCAACACTAATGCTCCTAATATGTTAATAAATTGAGCGTTGTCAGGCCGTCACTTGGCGTATCTGGGATTCGCCCCGAATGCTTCCCGACGCTTCTTTTCAAACGCCGTTGCAATTATTACGGAACAATTAATGTCAGAGGAACAATCCAGTTTTGATGGCTTTGTTGTATTGTCTGTCATAATGTAGCGGTTGATTTTGGAATAGAGAAGTGGCGATGTTACTTTCTTCCTAACTTGAGTTAAGTTATAGGCGTGGTGTACATTTACAGGCTGTCCCAATATTGTATTCTTCTCAGTCTTCCTTCAGTCTGCGAATAGTGAACAGCGTCTGCAATTCTGTTCCACACTTGACCTTCAATATCAGTACTCACAGAGTACAACTAAAAAAATCACAGGGATTTAAATCAGGTGGACGTGGTGGCCAGTAATTGGAGTATCGTTTCCCTGCTTGTCCATCTGCCTGGGTACAGATAATTTAAATGTTCTCTTATATAGATTAACTGGTAGATCGTCAGAGTATTTCGCAGAAAATCGAGACGAATTGGTAATATAATAGGAACAAGCAGAAAGTTATTGGTAAAACTAATCCACACGTTTATATTAAATTCTCATCGAAAATGTCTTTCCACAAGGCAAGGAAGTTTTAATTTGCGTAAACATGCTGGTTATGAAGCAGAATAATATATTAAAAAAACGAGAATTTGATAAATCAAAAATATACGAACCGATGGTAAAACATAATTCAATGAGATTCGGTTAAAATTTTGGTGAAAGAGTACCAGTAAAAGAAAATTGAAAGAGACAGTATTTTTAAAATAGTCATAGGCGAAAAGTTACGATTTAAATCAGAAATTGGCCCCTTTAGATCTACGGCACTGGTAGTTGAAATGCACAATTACAGGCATGGATTTATAAGTACTAAATTGGTCATCATATTTTTACAAAACATTTTTGTTTATTACCTGTCAAATGTCGCTCCAAAGAATTTCTTTGTGGGACACCTTGAATATTACTCAAACAACTTTTTGATTTATTTACTACGTCGGAAAGAGCTTTGTATTAAAGTACCAATCAACTGATCTGAGTTGTCAAAATGCGTGATAATAATAATCAGTATTGCTCTTTAAAAGTGTACATAAAAATATCCAAGAACGATATTTCGCTTTACTAACCAAATCATATACCTACCTTAAACCTGTCAAGTAATTGAAAGAACATTCCGAAGGGATAAATCCTCGTTTCTTTGAAATATAAAGGATTTGGAAATCTTCACTAAATGTCTGAATACCGTCAATATTACCTTTATACACACGACATGAATTTGATTTTACATAATAAAACGATCGCTTTCCGATTTATGTTGCATTGAAAATGAAAAATATGTATTTAATATATTCGATATTCCTTCCTTTGGGATAATTAAGTGAAACCTAATATTGCTGATAGCTAATAGATTGTATGCCGCAATTTTCTGATATATTTTATCTGCTCCCATTAAAGTAAATAGACTATTAAATACATTGTTTTTAAGGAGGTAATTGTGGCTGATTTCCACCCACCATGTCTCTTGATTGCTAATACATCAACTCCTATATCAGCCAGTAACGCTGCCGATGTTCTTCGGAATGAATAGCCTGTATATGTTTCAGGATGTTGTAGTTTCAAAAACTGTGCAATTTTATTAGTCTAATCTAATATGTGTTGTCGGGTGGCCCAACGAGATAATCGTTGACTTGGTCTCTTGTAAAAACGTTTGACTTTTTAGGTGTACAGCCGTCATTCTTACGTTTCAAAAATGCTCTCAGCTTGGGGTATTTTGCGTTCTCCTCCTTGGAAATAGTTGACTTAATCATTGAGTATTCACTCCACAAATTCGCCGGTGACTTTAAAGTTTTTGACTTCTTCATGAAATATGCTAGCAGTGACATTTCAAAAACACCAGTATTTTTGTTCTGGCACCATTTCCATATGAGCATCCGTAGCGCACTTTTGACTTCTCGGGCAATTAAAAATTCGCAGTCAGCATTTGCTGCACTTTCTATTTGAAAATCACTCATTTAGAAATAATAATTCAAAACCAGCAAAATTGTAACTTTTATGTAGCTTTGTTTATAAATACATTAGAAACGACAAAATCCAAATAACCGACTTTGCAAAATTTCGAATAATGTCAGAATGAATTGATTAAGAAATGTCAAAAATAAAACCTAATCTTTATTTCATGAACCTTAAAGAGCTGTGTGAGCAGATAAAATGTTATACACGACGCAGCAGTTAAGTATAATTACCAGTCTCGCCAGCCCTCGCTCCGCTCGGGCGCAAAATCGTCCTCGACTGGTAAATAATACTTAACTCCTTTATTGTGTAAATAACTATTACCTAGTTATAAATATATACAGGATCTTGATTAGCCACGCGCCTTTTTTACACGAGTGGCTATAATTTAGAGAATATAACCCCATCGGTCAACTCTCTCCTCTCGTATCGAATTCCTAATCAGATATGCACCTGACAAACTTAGAATACATCCGAAAACGCCCGGACCGGAAACCCTGTGCTAATAGAACGTCTGGGGAGCGACACTAATGCTTGTAATATGCTAATAAATTAAGTGTTGTCAGACTGACACTTGATTGTATCTCAGTCGCGGGCACGGAAGCAAAAGCTTCTTGCCGCACAATTAATGTCGTTGGGAACAATTCCGTTCCGTTCTCTCTTTATAATCTGATACGAATTGTGTACTTTCGCCAAGGAAACATAACTGGACTGCAATAAGTAAACATTGAAATCCATTCTACAAAAATATCTTATTCGTTTATTTAAATAGATTGGGCTGTTAAAAACTTAGGAATAGTTATTGATTAGCTACCGCAAAAATATACAATGGTTTCTGCTAAATAATCATTTCGGAACCTATTAACAAAGTTCGCATGCGATAATCAAGGAGCAAAGTTAATTGCGCGATCATAGCGGAATTAAGTGTAATTGGAAGAACAATATTCGAGGATACTCTTCAGACTTTTGAGCATAACGGTAAATGGCTGCGTCCGAATGGTCCATTAGAACAGATAAATTAAGTCCAACACGATCCTAACAAGATATTACATGCTTAACGTGAGCGCATTAATTCTACCGGATGTGCTCGAATTGGATGTGAATTTGGATTCCTGCAGAAAGTTATCGCATTACTTTGGTTCATAATACACTCATAAAATTGTTGATGTTTATATAATTTACACAAAGTCATTATATTTACGTACCTTAGTATTTATTTATAACATTGGGTGGATAAAACGCTGTGCTATATTATTGCGCCACAAATTAATCTAAACATGCCTAGTGAACAACTAGCATTTGAGCCAAATCAGGTCATCTAAGTGTACACATTTATTAATATATTTACATCAGTAAAATAAAAAAAATTATTTAATTTTCTTTGGAGTTTATTTCCTGCAAATATTAACGATGTTTTTGTGTAATATACGGCGCTTTGTTAAATCATCAAAAGTATTAGTTTCATTAATATCGTCGGAATAAGAGAAAAATGAGTAAATATTGGCCTTTATTTGTGTCATGTCCCTTATATTTCTCAGATAGGTTTTGTGGAACACTTCATGAGAGCCAATCTTTGGATCGTGTATCATTTATGTAAATATTTGTGTAAGAAATGAACTTTTAGCACTGTCTAACGGTTACAGCATGTCTGGACCGACAGATGAAAGCTAAGATAGTTATTCGTTATTTTAAGTTTGGTATAAGACTAAATTTATTATGCATATAATATTAATTGAGTAAAACTAATTGTAAGATAACATTTAAATAATAAATTAAAATATTTTTGTTTGACCTAAGACCCTAATCAGATGGACCCTTTAGATAAATAATGTCTAGCACGATGTTATCAAGATATATATGCTTAAGGCGAGCGCAATAATTCCGCTGAATACGGATTTTGAATCATTTTTTTATGTGCCACATAAATTAAGTAAATCTAAGCAACTTCCACGCGACTTGAATTAATTCAAGTTTATCAGCCAATTATCATATTCCTCGTGTTTTGTGGAGCCAAAAGAAAAAAGATTAAAACAGAGCACCTAGAGTGTATGTTTCCTATCCCAAAGCATGGGAACCTGTGAAACCAATTTGCGGGGAAGTGGAGTGTGCGAGGTAATCTGACCGCGCATACTTTGAACAGGTCCGGAATAAGCAATATCTTTCACTCATGACAAATATTCATTTTTCAAGATTGGAATTCAGAAAATAATATAATTTTAATGTCTTGCTTATATTAAATAAACCTACAAAACAATCTAAATGTATTTATTGTCCTTTAAGTAATGTTAGTTTATTTAATATTTGTCTTTTAGTAGATTTCAATGAATTAAATATTTTAACTTCATGATTTATTCTCACATCGATATACTTTTCACATACAGTCCCCACAAGTTCATATGCATATTTTTAAATATGTTAACATTCAAAAAGTTTTTTAATACATATGATACACAATTTTATTGGGCTTGTAGTCTAGCTAATTCAAAGACACCCTTCGGATTTATAGCCCTGGTACAGCGTCCATTAGGGGCGATAAATTAAATCCAACGCGATCGTAACAAGATATTAGAACTAACGTGGGGACATTAATTTCGCGGAATATAGTCGGATAGGATGTGGATCTAGATTTCAGTGGAAACATTGGCGTTAACTCACCGCATTAATGTAATTGATAAGGCTGAGGCCGCCGTCCCAAGGCTGCTCCTTGTCGCAGGACACGTTGGACAGCTTCAGGGTGTGCGACTGCTCCAGCGTCTGCAAGCCGATGGCGAAGACGAAAACAGAGTCGTACATCAGGGCGGCTTCCGCCTGTAAAGGAACGAATTCGCTTGTATAGCTTTCTGTTACATGTCGAGGAAGAACCACGAATTTCATACTCCAGTAAACCTATGTAGAACTTGCTCATAAATTTGTTCGTAAAATTTGAATTGTTGACAAAACTTGAGTGGAAAGTTTGTAAACAAGTTTGTAAAAAAAGTGTAATAGGTATATATTTTTTGATATCTCCAAAACTTGAAACATAGAGCAAAGTCCGAGATTAACACTTTTGTGACGTTAACCTTTTTTTAACGGTAAGAAATTTTTGTCAGATATTTTATATTTATTAGGTCAGGAAGGAACAACTAAAATAACATTTCGGGAGGAATGAACCCTGTGCCGCTTCGAGCGACTTATTCGACTAACTTTTGAAAGCTCTGAAAGACAGTTCCAGGGGGACATGCATCCATCTAAATCATTCATGAAATGTCTCATCGATTACTCTCCAGAATCGCGGTTAATGTTGTTTAGAAAGCACCTTCCTCCATCGACTTTTTGACGTTCGAGACGTATATTTATGCACAAAATACCTAACTCGTCGAAAACTAAAGTAGCTCAAATATTTGGTAGGTTAAAAACGCCTTTACACTTAAATCTCTTTTATGGAGACCGACAGCTTTGAAATTTAACAACAAAAGCATTTTTACTATGAAGTAGTTTCTTACAAAAAAACAAACTATAAAAAGAGTAAATTAAGAAGTACAGATTTCGAATTTGACGTTAATATTTTAGTATTTTTAATATACAGGACAAAATACATCCAACAGGATTTGCAGTAACACATACATTCTGCGTAAAACTTTTACACCTTTTAACGAAAAAAATACCTTGCAGGGAAAGCTCTTATGATGTTTTATGCGGGACATTTTCAGTTGGATAAATATAAAATGGACTGGCGTGAAGTTCTTTCACGTTACAAGCGCCAATTTGTAAATCCAAAAAGCGACCACCGCTTGGCAAAGTGACATGAAAAAAAAACATTTGTTCGTACTTCTGTACTAAAAAAGGCGATTCCTTTCAACATCAAAATACGTTTCAAAAGATGAAATATGGCTGAACCACATATAAGAAGTATCTTTTACTACTGTTTATTTACTTTTTTGACTTTTTTTTATATATCTTAGATATTTCCATTTTTTTTTTCAAGGTTATATTCCTATTTCGGAAGAACGTATTATTTTAGTTATTTCATAACATTTACTTTTTAAGGCTCATACTATTTGCTTCATCATAAGACTATAGGCCAGGAAAAAGAGCAGGGAAATAATGACCATTTCACGACTTTTTGTTTCGGCAAGCTGAAATTATCACTATAGATGCTAAATATTATGTACAATAACATTTTAGTTTCCACAGTCATAAAAATGGGGGGGGGAAGATTGTTTACAGGGGGATTGTATAATTTTTACGTAAATTCACATTTTTCGCTTATAACTTTTTTTCGTTCATTTCCACGAGAAAACTGCAAAGTACTTTTTTTTCGTCTTCAAAAACCTACAAAACTAGCCCTCGAGTGTCAAAAAAATATTGATCAGATCAAAAGTTATAAACAGAATAAGTTTATTTATGACATTTGAATTAAACATTTATAAACTGCGTTATTATTACCAGAACGTTTTGGCATCGCATCCTCTCATTCCTTATCACTGTCTAATAACTCACACGAAATCTGGTATCGGTAAGTTGAATAGTTTACAAGTTATGGTCTTATAAACAAATTAACTAATTATTAGTCTGGAGCGTCTTCCACAATCGCACTGATTTTTTTCATGGTAGATTTCATAATACATTGAAATCTACCATTTTTTTTAAATTTCAAATTTGATTTTTTTTATTTTTTAGCCTTAGTTGCAAAATGAAATATACAACGCACACGCGTGATATAGTTATATATTATTACATATTCGGAAAGCTTATGAAAAGAGCTTTAAGTTAAAAGAAAGTCGTCAAGATTCGTTGAAAAACAACGGAGTTACAGGCTGTCAAATATATTATTTTCAAGCAAATTTCGTTTTTTTAACGGCAGGACTATGAATATTTTCTTCGGACTCGCTGTCGTTCGTTTCCCCCACCCTTCCGCCGCGCCACAGCTTGCCGAAAAATCAAGCGACCCACTGACTTATAACAATATTTCTTATGCACTTATATACTTCCACAAATAAAATATTTTTATCTGGGAAAGTACCTACTCGGGTTGCCAGTTATGACAGTATTTTTTTTACCGCTACCAACCTAATTTGTTTAATAACAGGCCGTCAACTTTGACAGCCTGTAATTTTTTTACAGGCTTTACATATAACACAAAATATAAAACAAAACAAGAATAAGTTAAAGGAAATTAAAAAAACAATTTAAAAGAAAGAAAACTATCCAAATACATTTTCAATATGGGCACCTTGAACCTCCACTCACTTCCTACGAATGATATTTGTTTGTACGTTCTAACATAATAATTATGTCCAACAAAAATGAAATACAAAAAATGGTGGAGGCACCGCCCGATGTACTTTGTGACAAAATCACAAATATTTCCTAAACTGTTAATTTTACCGAGTTGAATCAAGAAGGTATTATCGTTGACAAATTCTTCAGGGAATTATTTTTGAAACAGGCAGATTACGATCGTCATCTATGCAAAAATTGTGAACCATTGGGCATAGCCCGTCCCTGGCGTTCTGGGCATAATGAAGTATCGCTTACAACATCAAAAACAAGCTGTACACATGTGTTATCAATCACCAAATTTGCATCATGCTGAAGTTAATAGTTTAGAAAGTGTAAATAAAAATAACTTTTTAATTTTTACCTTTGTGGGCCCGTATGGAAAAAAATATATGAGGTACTGTCCTCATCTATTCGTACTCGACTACTATGTACCTCATGTAATGTTTTAATAGGGAGATAGACCAAAAATAATATTTATGACGAATTTATGTCCCGCATCCCTGTTAAAGAGGATGCACATTTGTTACATAATGGAAGCGTTAAATACCCGAACTAATGCACTCGAAATGCAGCATTCATCTTTCTGCATTAACGACCGCGGTGGGTAGTAATTTGCACATTAGTTCCGTTCAATATGTTCTCGTTCCTTGTAGCCATTAATTGAGCCATCTGCCAAGTCTGAATTCATAAAACTCGATCGGGAATCACTCGGTTAATTGAATGCTGAATGTACATTTCTTCCGGTGAGAATTTTCCATAAATCGCCCTGCTTCGCAGCGCCGTAGTCGAACGCCGATTGTGATTGCGACAGGTAAATATGAAACATGTGCGTTTAAACTTGCATTAATTAAATGAAAAACCGCTTCAGAGAAGAAATATGACTATGAAGAAATGAAATACGACTGCGGATGTGGTTATATGTGGATATTTAACGTGGTGACAATAAACTGAGAATAATTTGTAACTGATAAAAATATCGAAAAACTATGGTCGAGAAATAAAAAAGTTACGGGCTGTTCGTCAGTTTAAAATACTTTGGGTGACCTTGGTGACTTAAAACATAACAATGTCTATGTCTACAC